TTTTATATATTATTGATGATTTGTGACACACTCAAAATGTCGGTGTACGATTACCTACTTGTGTACGACACATACTGAACGATAGTAATAATATGACGATTTGACGAAGATGAGCTGTAAACCAATATAAAAAGAACAACGCGTTGATTTAGACCAGTGTTACACTCCTGTAGCATCGGATTTCAAACRAGGGACGCGAACAAAAAAAACATCAATATAGTCATATACTACATTTTATTTAAATTTTAAAACAGTTTTTAAACACAGTATAAGCAAACATTTGTATTCGTTAAAAAAAAAATTAAATAAAAAAATAACGTAGAAATAGTAGAATCCTATAATAATAATAATAATATGTTGAAGAGTCCTACGCCTACATTCCGAACACAATATTTGAATATAATAATAATAATAGGCGCTTAAAATAATATTAAATTTATATTAGGTATGTATAATACTATTAATTATATTGAGTTTTATATTTTTTATTATTATTATTTACAGATGACATAATATCAATACTTTGCGCATTGATAAACAATATTGTATAATAGTACAACACACAATACACAATGAGGAGTTTAACAATTAACTGCAAGCGCGTGTATGTGTATAGCATATTRAAATATAAAATAATACAAATGTACATGTTATATAATATATATGTTATATATTTTTTTAATATCATATGTAGTTATAATATATATTTAATAATATTTGTTCGAATGAAGAATTATCTTATAAAGAAGACATTTTAAATTATTCAAATACAATTCAATTTAACGCTATAATAACTGATTTTCTAATACTTACATACAACGACCATTTAGCTGATTTATTTTTCTCTTTACACTGTAAATATAATTACACTAAAACTCTAAAAACAATTTTCATAAAGCAATCGTACCTATACGTATGACGTAATGCAGTGTAGGTAATCGCGTAATATTATTATGAAAATTTAATAACTTTTGTCATAGAAAATATTGTATACTACAAAACGTGTTATTATATAGGTACTGTAATCTATATATATTATATATATAAGTAGGTACTCGAGAAAGATCTGCAYGTCGTGTTGAAATTCAAAAATCGTAATTGTTTTTACACGATACTCGAACAACTCATAAGCATATATAATCGCTCGCGTTCAACCCCCTTCAGCAGCTCGTCGTTTAATACGCRCCGTCTAGACACTCGAATTATATAATATTATAATAATACACACCCGATATTAAACAACTTATTAATTTCGCAAATACACAAATATCGTTAATTCAAATGAAATGACAAATGATCTGTACATTATTGTATGACGTTATATATGCACCGATGTTGAGAAGGAGGAGAAGTAGGAGGAGGACGAGGAAGAGGATGAACAGAATAATGAAGCAGGGATAGGTCAATTTCCAACTTACTATATTTTTTATTTTTTAAACGTAAAGCCTCGTAATTATCATATTACCGTTGCTCTATGCGTCGGTGCGGATGGATCGATGGATGGCCGGAAGGATATAGACGGATGGATGAACGGATGTGCGTGTGGGTGCGGGTGCGGCGCTGCGACTCGTTTTTCATCAATCCGAGTACGACGTCTTGTCAGAACCTGGTGATGGTGACCGGGGTGACGTCGCGGCCTGGTTCAGGTGGTGCGATTGGTAGGTCATGGCGTGCGGGTGAACGGTGGTGAGGTGGTGCAATTGCGGCTGTAGATAGTGGTGAATAGGTGCGGTGAGAAAACGCGGTGTCTGCTGTTGCTGCTGCTGCTGTTGCTGTTGCTGGTGGTGGTGGTGATGGTGGAACGATGTCATCGCCGCCGCGGCCGTGCACACTGTGGCCGCGGCTGCTGACATGGGTGAGAACGCCGAATGCGAGTCCATGAGCGACGGATGACCCAAAGTCGGCAGCTGATCCGACGAACACATCTGAAACACGCGACGTGCAGGTTGGGTGTAATGCGTGACAATCTACGTATCGTATATAGTAATTGCTAATCGTCTATGGGTTATGAATGTGGGTGGGTGCTATTGAGAGAGAGTAAGAGAGGGAGTCCTAACCATTGCTATTAAACTTATGAATGTAGCATAGTATAAAAAAGTATGTACCAATAYTCGACTGGTTTTTTTCAATAATAATCGTTGACATTTCTAATATGAGAGTCTAATATTCCACCTACTCGTCCTACTCACCCTCARAAGACCTGATAAACGAAATGTACTGTTTCATTTTTAATAGCCCGTCACATTAATTACTAAGAAACTAGTCAATACTAAATTATTCCAATTATTTAGCTTAATTTATTAAAGTCCAACCTTCAATAGATCCTAATTTTCTTTTTCTTTTTTTAGCCCAAGTTATAAGCAATTCGATATAAATTTCTTTATATGTATATAATATACTAATAGCCATTATGTTGCCAATGTCTTATTAATCAGATAAAGATTGATAAATTTTTTGGACAGTTTAGCATCRGAATAAAATCTTCCAAATATCTAATACCAATGATAAATATCATCAATAATATTGTAGCTACAAGCAGTGATGTATATAATTATTTTTATTCATATCAATATATTATACGAATAAGGAGGCGCATGCCACTGCAGCGTGTTCTCATACGATCATGACAATAAAATAACTATTACTATAAAGTATAAGGTATAGTCTACGCATCATAATATACAGGAACCAATATTTTTTAACAATATGGCCGCGCGTCAAAAGGGATCGACCCTAAATGCTTTTTTTTTTAACATCATTATAATATTATTGTGTCACGGTGAAAAAAACCGCATGGGTACGCGTATATACAAATTGACAGTATAAATAATATATCACAATGTGACGTGTACGTATAAAGGGTATGAGTGGGGGCTTTTTGAAAACCCGACTACACCACGAATTATAATAATGGTATTATGCTCGAGTAAACGTCAAAAATCGAGTTTTCGTGTGTGCGCGTGTACACCGCGATAGGACGAGAGCTGTTTAAACGGTAAGACGCCATCTTCGGTGCATAATCAGATATTTGAACATTTGATATAATATTATTATTTGGGATATTTCAGTTGAACGTACGACAGAATAACGGTCACTTGAGGTGCACTATCACTGTTGAATAAGAGGCCACAGCAATTAATGGTATGATATATATAAATATATTATAATATATGTATTTAACATTTTCTAGTTGACTCCCCCATAGATGTTATTATAAATTAAAAACTGGTAATTAAAAATATTTATAATTTTACTGAACGCAATTATCCAATATATTTTGTACCTAAACATCAAATTGGCCGCGCATTCCAAAGTTTGATGTAAAAAATATTATTGTGTCCGTAATTTATCTTGTCCACAAACTCTGTTCGATTATTGCTGTTATTTATATATTAATATATTATTATACGTGYCAGTTACCGATGATTAATCAATTCTTATAATTTTGGTATTAAATACTCATAAGCAGTCATAACTATAAAACTTCAGATATGGAATTGAACAATACGCCTTTAAACGTTTTCCGTTAACATTATATTATTTTCATTATGCTGAAACGCAAAATGTATAACGATTGTGAATTAAATTTATAATGAGTTTAAAAATTTGACTTAGAATTTGGAACTTTGAGGATTTATATAAATTCTCAGCATTTTCAAAAATTCGCTAAGTCATTTTACTAACCGAATAATAATATTGTGTTGTATTTATAATTTCRAAGGGGTTTCGCATGAATAAAAATATTACCGTTTGGTGTTCCGTGATCTGAAAAAGCTAAAAAAAAACATTGGCCTAGTGTCGAAAGGGAAAAATTAGGAATTTTAATAAAAATAATTAACTCGATATTTAAATTGCGTTAAAAATTAACAGTTAACAAATTATAAATTTAACTCTATAAGTTAGAAGTTAGCATGGAAAAAATATTAACTCTTAAATCAGTTTAAAAAAGTTAATCTATTTTTTTAAATTAGTGAGTAAATCGCATAAAGAATAACTRTGTCAATCTAATCCAATAAAATATATCAAGAAACAAAATTATTTTATCAAGAAAAAGAACAGAAATTTTTGTGTTATTATTATGGTATTGGATTATTTATATTTGATAATATTTACGTATAAATGAAAAATTTCAAAATATTTTAAACTTGATGGATTATTTTTAAATCAACAGAGAAAAGCTAAGTTTTCAACCACCAATTAAACTAGTTGAGTTAAAAAGTAAAAAAAAAAAATAAACTTTTTAACTAGTTAATGCCAGCTTTGCTAATACGACCCTACACCTACATAATGTAATGTACGTATGGCACTTACCATGAGTTCGATCGCGTGCAGTACATCGCCGTTGCACCTTTGAAGCACGTTCTCGATATCCACTCGTCTCTTGTACGGAAAAACGCGCCTGAGCACATCAACGGCCGACCGTCCGGCGGAGTTGACTCCTGCGGCTGCGGCTGCGGCGGCCGCGGCGCTTGATTCCAGAAAACTGGAAAAATTTGGATAGTTCGACGGCAATCGGGAACGGTCGGGTTCGGTCGGCGAACTGGAGTCTCTCCGTTTGGGCAGGGACAGGTTTTCCGGGGCAGCTTCGTTGCTGCTTTCGTTGCTCTCCACCTATATTTAATCAAACGTATATTATATACAGATCATGTACATAAAATGGGCGATTAAGAATATAAGCGCGTAGCGTAATCCATTTTTATTTTGGGGTGGGGGAGGGGGGGTGCTTACAATGTTTCAGGTATTTATATAACATATATTCTACAAATGGTTATCAAAAAAATGAATGGGATAAATGAAATCGTAGAGAGCTAAAGTCCCCTTAGCACCCCACATTATGCGCCTATCCTCAGGCGTGATTATAAATCATCATATAAGATCGCCGATACGAATAAACTATTATAGAGTAATATTATAATATAAATATATCATGATTATACATGTGGCTGAATGCTGAAACATAKAAGTTATTTATAGAATTGCAAGAAAAATCATGTCAAATCTTAGCATTTAATATCACAATGGTTATGCTAATCATTAAACAKTGTGTTTATGGTTTATCAGATAATCGTGCAAAATGTATATTATGTAGTCGGAGTGACTGCGAGACAAATTCAACCAACAAGACWAGATAGATTCTATATTCGCAAGTGTGCGTCGTCGCATTAATATAAAAATCGAAGCATTAAAAATGTAAATCTTAATAATTATTATGGTTAGCAAAAAGAGTTGTACCTAAAAAAAAACGGAGATTCGACTCGYACTTAGGTATATGTTATTTTTTTATGTTTATGAATAAAATTTGTAGAGGTCAAACTTACAAGACAAAACCATCAGCCTCATAATCCACTTTGTTACGATTGATTATCCATTAATAATTACATACATTTATTTTTCATTTAATTAATTAATTAAATATTTAAATTAAACTTAAAAGTTTTTATACATGCAACACTTATCCAGTTTTAATTTTTAGATGATATTRTGAATCAAGAAAGTTGAGACTGAAGTGCACCATGAACATTTTTCAGTTTTGGTAGCATTACAAAGAAATTTCAACTGTAATAAAATAAATATTTTTCCATGAAATTATAAAAATCAACTCCAAATACTAAAAATGTTATGTGTGAGTATCGATGAAACATAATCTCATACATCATAAAATATTTTTCTATTATTTTAAAATCCTCATACTTCTACAGGATTGTTTCGTCTAACTATATTAATATGCATATTATATATGTCTTGTCACTGGCGTCCCAATGGAAGGAACATAATATTATTATATTATAATACATGTACTCATATAATCACAATAAATAATAATTATCCATTTGCCATTTGCCATTTATATTCGAATATGTACGATCACGAGGTAACTATACCTTATATCGAGTATAGTAGATCGTTATATATAAATACATTATATTATATTACAGACAAAAATTGAAAAATCGAACTTACCTCCGACCTCGTCGGACTGTTGAATTTGGCGGCAAACTGTGTGGACGTTACTTGGGTCGGGGCGTTCGGCGACACGCTGGACGAGCGACTTCGTGTGTCCTGATCTTGTGTGCTGATCGTTTGGTCGTGTTTTGCATTAATGGACTCCTCCGAACTGAGGCGCGCTCTTTTTTCGTCTAAAATCGGACAAAAATTCGAAACTGTTCAATTATAATGAATTTGGTGGCGTATACGTAAATACCAAATTTCGAATGAAAGTTTGAACAATAATCCGTATTGAAAGTGTAATCATGTTAGTTTATTATGTGACAAGAGCAATAGCCAGTCACGTGTTGGACATAATTTTAAATTATATTTTATTTCTCGCGTGCTGGCAAAATATTATGGTTGTAAATCAGTATAATATTGAATCGATCCATACACTACGTAGGTATAGTTTTAAAAAAACTAAKTGTATACACATAATAAATAAAATAAAGTCAGTACTAAAGATATAAAACATATTTATAAAAGTCAAAGTCATATACGCGGGCGTGTAGTACAATATAATAATATAACGGTTAAAAAAAAAAAAATTGTTATTGACGAATCGCGTTAATCACGTTCGATTTGTGTGTGTGTACAAGTACAATACGTGCACCTATACAATATTATAGTATAATAATATCATTGGTAAATGGTATAAAAAAAAATTATTAATAATAATMATACGTAACGTTTCGAGGTTTATATTATATTGTGCGTACGTACGTGGTGGAAAAAAATGTTTAATAATACAACGTTCGTCGAAGATATTCGAGTGTATAATCATGTATATATGTATATATTAAAGTGTGTAAATATTATATAGGCTGTATATTATAGTGTATATGAACTGCGGCAATTATTTTTTTACGGCTGAAAAAATAACACATCTACGACGTGGTGGAAGTGGCTGGGGGGGAGGGGTGGAAGAGGGCTCGAGATGGACGAACGGACGGGAAAGGGGTGTGAGAGAGTGAGGGAGCATTTAAACTAACGCGTAGGTGGGCGGCGGGATTATAATATAATAATATGTCTAGTATGGCGATCGCGCTCTTAAAAGCCCAACAACCCTCTTTGCTGTGGATACGGTAAACCACATAAGTGCGGGGTGAATCGCCTGAGTACATTATTATATRTATAAAATATCTATTGTACAAACTCGCCTGCGGGATTTCGTWATTATTGAAACGTTTAAATAGGTACCTGCGCCGCAGTTGTTTTCTGCACAACCATATAATATAATATAATATTATATATATAATAGAGTATAATAATAATTATGTAGGTGAACTACCATGRTGGTGCAAGTGGGGGAGGGCGCCACYCGACGCTGTACAATTTTGTTTACGCAGAACTATAATATATTATGTTATATATTAGGTATATTATAATATATCACGACCATATAATCAATTACCCAACTTCGTACAATCCTACCACATTGTATTATTATTATTATTATATTAGGTATATATATTTGTACCATCGAGACTATGGTATTGTTATTATTATATTATTATGTAGGTAAGCTAACTTTACGTTTAACGGTACTTTAACGAGTTTAATGCGCACTTGAAAGTTGAAAGTTATTATTTTTAAAAACGGTTTCTATATTATATTGTTATTATTACCACTACAGTGTACAGTGTTCCCGAACCAAATAAATACGACAAAAAATTGCTTTAAATTATAAAAACTCAATCCTAAAAGTTATATATATATATATATTTGTTCTGAATATTTTTACATCCATTATAAACATATGTATTTGAAATATCAGAGAAAAGCAAATTACGATAAAAAATAAAAATAAAAATGAAATACTTCAGTATATTTTGATACGTATTTTTTCAAATGTAAAGTAAAAATCATTATTTTATACTCAGTTATTATTATTATTTTTTAACTATTTCCAAATTGAATATTCTCGTATGTTAATTTAAAAGATATGTTGATAATTAAAAAAAAAACTTTACGTGTAGTAAATTAGTAAAATTATTCCATTAAAACTTTAGGTTTACATATAATATAGTAGGATTATATCATCGCAAATATAGTTTCATAGAACTTTTATTAGCAACTTTATAGGTACCTWTATACATACTGTACCTAGCTTATTATTTATTATTTTATTTTAATTGCAATACTTGTATATCCTTTTTAAGTGCACTCTAGTCTTTAAGTAATAATTATTAACAACAATAGATCGAGATAACGTCATGTAGTTGGAAGCATTTCTATTAAGCTACGATTTGTAACCCTAAGCAACTGCTCTTTTAACGTAAAAAAACATAACGCCACCCTTAGCATATTCAACCACTTGAATAATATAATATATACGTTTATATTTGTCCACCGTCTTTTGTTTAAATGTACGGTGGTCTGCGTATTCGTTTATTTTTAATTTAATAATTTACTATATAGAAAAAAAAAACACTATCTCGGCGAAGAATACAGTGGGTATAGCCAATAATACTGTGACCAAAAGTGAATTTCAAATGATATTATTGTTTTATCGTGTAATATCTGCGGCAAGCCAAAATTTGAATCTGTAAAAGCAATTACTCAACTACCACTTTTTGCGAATCCTTTCCACCCTACAAACAACTRCTCAAGCGTTTAAGTTCGTAAGATAACATTGTGTAAAACCACGTCTTTGGAACATTCATACAATGTTATCTGTTAAACAAAAAGTTTAAAGTGAGTTAAGGCGGGTAAGGAGTAGAGGTTAATTGGTAGTTGTGTTTAAGTTGTGTGTGCGTTGTTTTATAATAACCTCTTAGCCACCACCATTGTGAACGTATACGCATAGAACGCGGCTCCTTAATAAGAAACACCCTTCCCCATATTATATAAAGTATAATATGATATGCATACACATATACATGTATAAATAAATATGATATACACGTACACACACCTATATAATATACCCCCGAACAATGGAGACGATTAGGGGTGAGTTGGAAATCGTATATAATAAACTTAATATAATAATGCAAGCAATTGAGGTCAAGAAGAATTCTGCGGCAATAAAAGAGGAATTCGGATAATGTTACTAGTGGTTATTATGTGTGCGGCGTGTGTACGTTCATATATACATCACGCACAGTCATAAACAGGGTCTTCTGTTTTGCTCGTCACACCCTCGCTATCGACGACAGCCCATAATAATAATTATATATATYATATACTTCCTTCGGTTGGCAACATAAAATATTTTCCCGAACGTCATCGCATTACCCGTCTAACGACAATTAAATAGTAATATATTATATTCATTTATAAAACACAATACTGCAGTTGTGCGTAATACGTATATTATATTATTATCATTTGTAAGTAATGAGGTTAGAAAATTCAACTTGGAATAAACTGTGGTAGGTACATAATTATTATATTGTGTTACATTTGAAATATTATGACATTTTTACTTTCAGATAATATATAGAAATAAAACGTCATTCGGTGTAACCTAGTTTTATAGACTATCAATATTGACGTATTTTCACGTAAAAATATATTTTCAATAAATGCCAAGCACACAGACAAGTAAACACGTTTTTGTTTTCTTAATTTCGTATTTCAGTTGGTGCGTGCATGATTCAACATATTAACCTTCGATATTTCAAATGTGGGTGGAAATGATATTGTATCTGTGAMGCATCGCTAACTTGTGTAATTAAATATTGAAGGATAATTTCTAAAAATAGGTATAAATAAATTATAATAGATTCACTATAAGAACCAAGTACATATCCAAACGGCTACATATTATAATTTACAAATATTATACATAAGCTGGGAATAATGTTTCGTTTTGGGATGTTATAAGATAGTATATGAATATACCTGGACTTGATCTAGCAGCAGCTGACGACGACGACGATGGTGGTGGATATATCAATCCCAGTTCCCTGGCCTCGTTTTCCTCTTGAGCTTGTTGCCGCCGTAGAGCTACTTGGGCAGCCATAACTCTCTGTCTTTCTGCTATCAATGTACATTTTGCGCAGGCACAATCTCTCCAACGACAGTATCGTTTATGTCCCTGAATAATAAAATAATAATATAGTATTAGTAATTCATAGCTATTTCAAACATAATAATATATGATATTATTTGAAAATTAAACCACTTAAAAGTGTAAATGAGCTAATATCACGAATGTGTAATACTTATACTACAACAGTTATAAAATACGGGGTTGATCAAATTTCAAAAAAAAAATAATAATAATAATAATTAGACTAACTATACCTTCCTACCATTTTATATAATGTAATATAAGCACATTCATTATTATTTTAAGGGGACGTCACACCCACATTTGTTGTCTTACAAATGTACAATATAACAAAAAATGTTTTAAGCGGGAAAGAATCGAGTAGGTTACAATCATAACTTATGAAATTTTCACATTATAAAGATGAGAAAATTTATCGTGCAACATCGACGTTTTTATATTTGTGATATCAAAAAAGAAAAAAAGATGTTGTACGATAAAATATGTTCTCATTTTTATAGTGTGAACGATTTATTTTTCAGTTATGACTACCTATAGACCTTTTGGTTCTTTCCTGCGCAAAACGGTTTTTGCTATGTTGTAGGTAGGTACGTTTTTAAGACAGAGACAACACGTGCGGGCGTGGCATCCTCTTAAACACAATTTATAATATTTGAATTCATTGTAATAATGTTATTTGTTTTACTAAGTAATTACCTACACCTACAAACTAATAATCAATAGAAAACATTAGTTTTGCAATATTATTATAAAATATATGACATTTACATAGTTGTATTGAAAGTTAAATCTATATTTGTTCAATTGCGTAAAATAATATATTTTATTCAATTTAACAACAGTAGGTAGTTGAATATTTGGAATAATACTATGAGTGAGAGAAACTTAGAAAATATCATTTAGCAACCATATTTCCAAATATTGTTTTCTAACTTCTTATTTTTGGTTAAAAACCAACATTCATCTTCATAAGAGCATTTGAATGCATTGAATTGAATAATTACACATGTTAGAACTATAATATATATTAAGTGTGAGAATAACGTTATTATTAATCATATGTAAATAAGTACAAATTGTACACATACATATTTAATATTCATATAAGGTAATATATATATAAATATTAGTGAATATGACTTGATTATTTGATTATACATAATACATGATAATGTGTTCAACAAAATAAATAAATTTATATTTTTTGATTTAATAGCGTATTTCCGTACCTATATACTTCCTACAATCCTACCTATAAGTATGATTTTGAATATAAATGTAAAATATCATAGTATTTGGTGTAGTTATCTATGCACTTTTTAAACGGTACTAACACCAATTAGAGAAACGAACAAATTCAATTTACCACTTTTCATAAAGCTCTTCAACAAATTTACAAACATAAAAATGTTTTTAGTTATCAGTGAACACAGACAATTTACAGTGGCGGAGTACCTACGCTTTTTAAGTCATTAATAAAATAATTAATAATCACATAAACTGCAATCATGTAATTGAAGCGATTAAGAACGGATATATTAATTTTATACTAACAGTTAAATTTAAACAATTTATCGTTCATTTAAAATTTTAAAAGTTAATTTATGTTACCTAACTGTAACATAAACTTAAATACGAACAAAAAAATAACGTAAATCTTAATTTATTTACACRTCATGTAGATGATATAGAATATACTATATAATATTTTAATAAAAACAAAACAAAATTTAATAATATACTTTTAGTTATTTTGGGCTATAGTTTATTATACAATAAATTAATTAAACATTATATTCGTTAAATCATTATAATCATATACGTAGATATATACATAGTTTTTACTAAAAATAATTATATAAAATAAAATTGTTGTTCGTATTGAGCAAAGTAAGTTTAATTAATATTCGTAAATTGAATCCTCATTAATATTCTGCATGTGTACGCCTTGCACAATTAAAACACAAATTATTAGTTGAAATATATTGGTACTGACTGTACTGAGTATGATATGTAATTTCGACAATTTTACTTATTTTTAACGTTAAAATGTATAATTACAATTGTGTATAGGTTTATACATCATTTATACTTGTTATTGACTAGGTATATTAAGAGTGCAAATAATTCATTTTTATTTAAATATCCATTAAATTGATGATTAGGCATATCTATACGTCTAATCGATATCAATTAATTGTGTACGTACAAAAATAAGTACATTTGCAATCGTTCAATATACAACCCTTCAACAATTTTAATTTACAGACCTTCTTATCCATAATAGAAACCTATGGTTGGACTTAGTGCTTTTCGAGACAGTAGATGTACAAAGTCATATTGTTGGCTTTTAAAATGTTAATCCAGTATAATATGTAATATTTTGACAAGTTGTATCACGTCGAATTTCCCCACTCGTTATTTATAATATTTAAACCGAATATGTTTTGACAGTATAATTAAATGTACTTATATTAAAGAGTTATATAAAAAAAATTCTTTACAACCCCGAATTATTAAACAGTATTAAGCAAAAACTTAGGAAATAATGAAGTATATATAGTTTGAATTCAATTAAATAAGGGTAGTTTGTTCTTTAAATTAAATTATACGCATCAATGAAGGCGCGATAAAATTTTGATTTATGTTCGTAGAATTGTACTTGCGTTGAAGAGCTACTTTTGAATTTTTTTTCTTAAATAGTAGAAAACTAGAAAAGTATATGAGTAAGTACCTAAATGAATTACATGTATTACAACTATACAAGATTTATGTAAATATGTTTTGTGAATAATAGATAACAATAATTATATAATAATTTTTTATTTATTATTATTATTTATTTTATTTATCATAATTTATTAGTAATATTTACTGTTTCTTTGGTTATAAGTAGGACTTGGATTTAAATGCATTTGTATCTTTTTTTTTTTTTTGAAATGTCTTAAACAATTTTTTCCAAGCTACAAATTTGTTATAAGTATTCCATGTCGTGACCTCAATATTTTAGCATTTGAGCATTTTTTACGATATAAATGCAATTTTTTAATTTGTCAAGACATTTTTTATTTATTTCTCGTTTTATGACTAGACGCAATTTGAATAAATTGAAATATACACTTAATACTATGTAATAATATGTAAATCGTTTTCATTTTGAACTATATAACATCAGATAATCTGGTTTTAAATAATTAGACAAGACTGAAATTTATAATCTATCATCTAATCAACCAATCAGCCAATTCAGTTGCATACGATTTATCGAAGTATTACAGTGTAGTACAATAATACAATATAAATTAAATTAGTTAAATTAAATTTTTTACTATTTTTTTTTATGTAATTATACAATTTTGCATGTTAAATGCTTTTTTGATAGATATTATTAGAGCGATTAAACCTGATCTCTAGTTATGAATATTTATTAGTGAATAATAACAAATCAATATATATACATATATAGTTTGGTTAAAGAAAAGTGGTATAACTTTGTGATACGTGCATTACCATTATAAATTGTAAATCAATTGCCAACTTCAAGATAACTATACAAAAATTAATTAATTTAATTTACGTTAATGTGCAATAATACAATACATGTTGAAACTAAATAACTTATCAATATTTAGATATTATAGTAATAACTAATAAGATATAAAATAAATTAACCTTATATTTGTAAAAATGGGTTCCTATACCTAACCTTGTTACCTAACAGTTGTAACTTGTCATATCCAGATCTAGCCTTGAGAAAACTATTTATTGTATAATATATTGGTAGAGAAGTACATAGTATATATTTTTATATTAATGGCAGTAATAATTTATTATAGGCATATAGCCATTATTTTATATTATGTATGGATATATTGTTAATGAAATGGTTACATAAGATTATATTATATTTCAATATTCAATTAAACTTAAAAAAAAGATTAAAACAAAACAAAATAATGTGTACACCGTGTGAAGCCGATATCATATATAGTAGGTATTTAAATTGTTAAACTTGTAGTATTACAGTATTAAGAATTCATACTAAATATCTAGTCATATAAGCATGACAACAAAGTACAATGTGGTTCACCAAGCTCCAAGTGTTATCACCCCCATATCCTACATATTGTGCATTTATTAAAATTCTGATTATAGTAATATTTTTAGATACACGCAATTAAATTCCATATGTTTTTTTCCAATACATAAAAGTTTGATAACCTACAACGAGTGTACTGCAGCTAAATTTTTATTTTTATTTTTATTTATCCCTGTAAATGGACTAGTGGTTTCTATGTTGTTAAACTTAATATATCAAGAGTAACAGCCAATATAGTCTTTAAGCTTTAATAGTGGTTTTATAGAAAACATTAATATCTATAATCCTCGCATATATTTTTTAAACCTATAAGACTAGCATGGGGATATACCTAAAATTTCAAACATTAGAATATTTGAATATAATATGTATTGTTATAAAATAGAAGTGTAGAATTATCCTGTGTATATATATGATATATTTATACATATGTTATAGGTATAACTATGACAATCAAAGTTAGACCGCAACAAGAGTTACAAGACCATCTTATGACCAATCGTCTTGTTCATATACGAGTAATATTATTATGAGTGCAACAACGATCACTAAAGAGTACAAGTATATTATGCATACAAAATTAGGAATAAGTAGGTGCTATAAGTGAGGATCTAATCGGATGTATGATATATAGTCATATAGACAAGATGAATTATAGAAATATTATAGAGGTATACAAGGTGTATCAGATATAACTGACTTTTGGAATAACTTTTGTTCAAATTATTATTTTTATTTATTTATTTTTTGTTCATTAAGTGATCATAACGCTACACGTATGATACATTTTTTTATGTCAATCTTTTAGTACTGAAAATAAAAAAAATTAATTTAATAAAAAATTGTTTGGATAAATTCAAAATAGCCTATTTCTGAATCTGATTATAAGAACAATTGTTATGTTAAAAAGATTCATCTAAGTCAAGTGGCTTATTTTTTAGAATTTTTTTGGTTAAATTAATTTAGAACGTAATAACTTTTTTAAAAATATGATTTTTGAGCATTTTCTGACATGAGTATATTTCTTAAATTATTTACTTATCATATAATATTAATACAATGTTTATCATACGTTGAATTAGCATAATTTTTTTTTTTTTTTGGTCAGGTCTTTCTGTTACATTCTGTATATGCATAGAACATTATATCAATGGCCTATTGTAGTTGAAGCTTATTATACGCATAGTAATTTATAAGTCAAAATGTATATTAAACTATTCTATACAGGAACGCTAGGAACATCAATTGAAGTTTTTTTTGTAAAGCTTAAATAGTCTTTTTCTTATATGACTACTATTATAATACTGTTATGAGCCTTATTGAAATGTCGAAAGCAATAATTGCTTAAAAATTATTTTAAAAAATATGGATACAAATATGAACATATTATTATATGGGTGTATAATGTATATATACCTAATATACACAATACACATCCTTTATGTGCACTGTTAATAAATATAGTGAATTTCATACTTTACTTTAGTGTATACCTACGTATAATATAAAACAATTATAAAACATTCTAATGTTTTGGAAAAAAAAAATGTTTTCATAAATAATAGGTATGTGACGCGTGCACCTATTAAAAATATCATTATATTAGATACCATACAACACTTATACAATGCGGTTCGTGACGAACGCGGGAGGGTTGAATAAGCCACCCTCTGCCTCAATAAACGATATATTTTCTTACAGCATCCACCATCGCAGTGGCAGTCGGTATTTATACCGATACCTATAAGTACCTACGTTATTATCTACATATTATAATTAGCAGCAACACACTCACTTTCAGGGCTGACACGACTCCATGGTTCCTGCACCGGGCACACTTGGGCGTCCGCTGGTACCGCTCGGAAGCTCGCTGCAAGAAGAACGCGGGAGACAGTCCTCCGAGTGCGGGATGCTGCGACATGAGGGCAGCGGTCATGTCCACACCGCTGGGCAAACTCATCGTTACTGCCGTCGGTTATGCGTCTACAACATCGCCCGGACGGCGACGACGAGTCTCTCGCGCCCGACCCGCGGCGACGGGCGCGGCGATGGGGCTGGCTCCTCCCCCCGAAACACCGCAAAGTCCCGCCCCGCCGGCACGCTTATATTTTTATTCTTACAGCTCTTCCGCGACGGCTCTACACACGCACACACACACACACACACACACATACACACTGTAAATATAATTTTATATATTATTATTATATTATCATTGTATTACATTTTATATATAAACTATATATATTATATTATTATATATCGCGTTCGTTTTGTATTTCGGCTGAACAATAACGCATACACTCGTGCGGGCGTGCAGTATAATAATTTCAGGTGAATAGTACATAGTATTGTATATAGGTATATAAAGCACGTACACACGCACCGTTATATATACGCGACTATTATTATACTGAAATGATATAATAATAATAATCATAACACGTCTCGCRGGGTAAGTCGGCGGCGGGGGCCACGTCGAATCACCGACCGCGTTTACCCAGCCAAACTCCACCCAATTCCCCGCGGTGTGTACAATTTATTATATATAGGTACATGTACCGGTGTAAGTATTATATATATATGTATATATACCTACGTATATATCTATAGATACACTTCATAAATGATTATGTATATAAAATGTACATGGATACGTGTATATATATATATATATATATAGATAGATATATGTGAATATAATTTATTATATAAATAATAATATGGCCCGCGACGAAGCGACATGTATACGCGTGCGATATTGTGCGTATATATTATGTATAATGTATATAATATAATATATAATATCATATGTGGATTATAGGTAGGTATATATCAGCTAGCATAATATATATTATTATTATTATGTGCAGCGTATGTATAGGTTACTATAAACTATGCTTAATACCTGTATATATATATTACATATACATCATACCTATATATGATTTAAATTTTTGTCGGTTATTGTTCAATCCCGGCGGGCTATAGGTACCTCTATTATATTATATATACATGTAAATTGTGTATAATATATTATTAAAATAGTCCCAGCAAAAGACATCCTGCTATGCATACCCACGATCCCCACACCACGGGCTATATCCACCAAACCAAATGCACAACACCCGGCTGCCACTAATCTTTATACTATATTATGGTTATTAGTTATTATAATATTATTATTATTATTATTATTGTGTGCCTATATACAATATAATATTATATTATATTTCAGTAAACGTATATAGGGTATGGTATATCCTATACGTCTCATATTTTACGGATTTTTGTATTCGTATTCGAATCAATAGCTTACCAGTGTCCGAAAGAAATTTTCTAAAAACAATAACACTATAATATATATATATAGCATCATATAGGTATAGGTACTTGTTTTCTGGAGTGAAAATTAAGCTACAAATTCCAAATGTGTGGTTATACCTTATACGAATGGTTACTAAACAATTACTACAGCACCCAACGTTTCAAGAATGGATAGGTAACACTTAATTAATAACGCACAGGACGGGGCCGTTCCAGTGAAATAATAATGTTCTGTAAATATGGAAAATAAAGGACCAACCAGATTGCGATTATGGCCACTTACTTCCATACAGCCCATCTGTATATTTTTTCTTATTACACACTTTATACTATAAAACTTGGAGTTAACGTTGTAGGGGGCTCTGCTACCCCCCCCCCCACCTACACCAAAAAATAAAATGTATTTAATCCATACCTACAAATAAATATAGGGTGGTTATGGTCAATTTCTATACTTCTTTATCTACAGAGTACAGGCTACAATGCTACATCACCATATCAAAGGTTATAGGTGTATAGTCCATACAGTGAAGAAAAAATTTAATAGTTATTACAGGCCATTACAATCTTTTAAATTTGTATTAATTTGTATTAAATGCTTGACATTTCGTACTACGCAAAGCGTGTCGCATACTATCCATAATTTTATTCCCCGATATAAGCGACATGTCCCTCCCATGCTTTCAATGGGACATTACTGGAATATAACTTCACAAGCTACTAGTAAGGTGGTCAACTGGATAAAACACTTGACAACCCATTGTAGACATTGAGAAACTCCAACTATAACACGGGGAATTTATGCTCTGTATTTAACTTAAGGCTATTTTTTATAAACACCGGCGTGCATGCTATTGACTATTATGTATCAGTATTTAGCCTATTTAAAGTTACACTTGAATTCGTACCATACAAAAACAATAATAGTTATAGGTATAATAATGCTAAATAATGCTAAATAATAATAAACTTTTTTATGGGAAATTCTGATTTGGGACCACCTGCAGAGTTGCACTTTGCATCATTTTATTCTCTAATTTTATGATTTTATCGATTTAAAATGAAAATAACTAAAATAGGTTGATTTAGGTCTAATATACTGATATAATTCAAAAAATTTACTATAGGATTGAACTTTGAGAAAACCTTCTCACCTTCTTATTGGTTTTAAAATTGTGTTTTATATTTCATAATTATTTTAAATGAAGTTTGGCGAAGTATTTTTGTTGGGATATAATTCAATTTTTGTTGACACCTTATTATTTTGGGAACACATTTGCCATTGATTGTAAATTATAATATAAGTAGAAATTAGTATTTTTTTTATTATTCTATATTGGTTGCCATTAGTGTTGGATAGTGGACTGTAATGCGGGCAGCGTTGAATATTTTCTAATAAAACATTGAAAATACACTACAATAATTTTCTAGTTAAATTGGCTATAACTCCATTGATATTGTCCAAAATGATTTGAAAAATACAGAATGCAAATCTACGTGCAATTTCCGATAGCATTGTTGTGTTAAAAAAACGTCATTATGTAACTACAAACGTGCTATCTTTTCTCAAGAAATTTTTTTCATGAATCGTGTTGCTCCTAGTAATATTATACCCGCCAAGTTTTCGTATGTTGTATTGCCTAAAAATGCATTTTAAGGCACTCTTTTCTTATTAGCATGACCCTGGTGAGACGTTGAAGTAATTTCATACATTAAACAACGTTTTTTAATTTAATCAAATATTCTTACTTTAAAATATGAGATACAAAAAAATGATACCTCGATGTAACAAATATATTTTACTAAAAGTGTGTATAAAATTTTATTTTTAATCATTCAAATTGCAACTGGCAGCCCAGTGAGAGCAGGGGGATCAAATACCTTACAGTTATTTTCTTAATATTATGCAATACCTAGCTGCAGTAATAAATAATAATTATTGTATATAAGCCTCATATATTTTGAATCTGTTATTTAAAATATTCTACTTAGAATATTTTGAAATTCGCAATTGATAATTGCTTCCGAACTCTAAACCGTCTTTATATCGAATTGCCAGTGAACATAATCGCTCGTTAATATTCGTGAAAATGCATAATCGATTTCTGTGGAACCATACCTAGGGATAATAAGACGCACATCGTTTACTAGAAGAAGCAACGAACGACTCTATTTTATTACCACAGATACTTTACGCCAAGACCGCATGTTATGCTTATATTTTAACTCCATATATTTTCAATATTTTGATTTTGGTTGCACCAATAGAAATTTATTTTTCGATTCCCGGAATCGTGAGTGACACAAACTCACGGGCACGTCATGTTTTATAGTTTAGTGTTCTGAAATAATATAATCTTCAGTTGAAAATTCGATAATAGCACAATAATATTATAATATTAGTTGTAYTGTATTAAGTTATTGTGATTAAAATTTTAACACCAACTTTATGGAAATTTAAGTTAATCAAAATGCTTTTTAATATGTGTGATGACAATTATAATAGCTTACCTATAATTCACATTTGCCATAATTGTATCACAGATGTATTATATATTATAATATATATATATATATATTAATAATTATAATATTTATATAATAATTATATATGTATATAAAGGTCATATAGATCAGTAGTAATGTATTGATTTTTAATAACTTGATTTTAAAATGAAAATTTTTGAAGAATAACTAAAAGTTATGAGTGTTTTATACGTGTTTAGCTAGGATTGTTTTGATACTCGAAATCTTCATTAATTTGAAAATTTGTCAACTATCTTACTAACTTTGTTTACGTTGGCTTTGGGTATTGATGGGTACTTATTTAAGTTGACTTATGTTTCGAAAGACTTATTTTAAGTTATACATTATTTGCATCTATATAAACGATGCAGAGTCTTTCAAAATATTTATAGACCAGCGGTTGAAAATTGAAATTGTGATATTACTTTTATGTAAATGGTGTTCTGTATAATATTATTAATTTTAATGAATTTAAAATAAATCAAAGATTCAATAAACGATTTTGAACGACACTTAGGTTATAGATAATATTAAAAAACATAATACATTTTAGTTAATTTAGAAATAGTCGAGTCATGTATGCCCTCCAGTACGGACGTACACCTTAGCATGTCGCTCCGTTATCGCAGCTAACCCTGTCCCGTGTGCGCTCGCTCAGTCCTGAGTCCTGACACGCCAACCAGCCAACCAGACGAGTCACGTTCCCGCAGAAGCTTACCACGCCAACGGCAACTGATAACGTTCACGTGCAGATAAGCCACATCCACCGACTAACCGCAGAAAGTCACATGCGCTTAGACACGCCCGTRACCAACTGCAACGAGTCACGTGCGCTAAGTTCACCTAGCAGCCAACCGTTACATTTCCCGACTGCGCAAGCACAGAAACGCCTCTGCGGGACCCTATATAACCCAGTGCGCTGGGCTCTAAACGCCTGTTTCACAGCAAGCCGAATCGGAGCAGCAACCGACTGAAAGAGAAGTCAACTACCACACCAGGCACCCAGGGCTCGACCCCTGGTGACAACATGTCAGACCATATAGCAGCCAAATGTACCAGACCCACCGAACCAGAACCCACGCATCGACCATGTGGTCAGTCCTAACCCCAGCAGAAGCGTCTTCAAAGACCTCCGCTGCCAGTGACGGACTGATTATTAAGAAACTTAATGTGGCAGGTCCCCTCCAGGACAGCCCTGGACCAACACAGAATTCCAACGGACACGATTGGAGCGCCAAACTAAATCATAAATGTTGCATCCAGGGCGAAGATCGTGATGGATAGA